GATGGCAGCTGATATACCAAGCATCTACTACATTGCATTACAATTGCATCTTGAAACCTACATGTAGCTGCAATCATTTGACATGTGTAAAGCTGAAAGCGGGTGAATACATTCGAGGTATTTCTTCAACACCTGTGAGAGTTGTTATTTTGTTTCTGGTTTATCATGAGTGTGTAGGAACAGTATTATAAACACGGACTTACGCAACTGCCTGTAAAGGAAATAATTCACAAATGTTACGATTTCTCGTCCGATTTCACAACTTGCTCAGTCGGTCTTGCGAAACGTTCATTTAAATGTGCATAGAAAGTAGCTTGCGTTTTCACACACAGTTCAATATAGCAAAAGTTCCAAGCACGTTTGGTCTTTGTTCACGCAGCTAAGTTGGCAACTAGTTTGATATCTTGTTCATTTAGCTTTAGATTTTAGTCCCACTCGGATATTCAAATTAGTGCATACGTTTACAATAGTATCACATTTTCAATGAAATTGGGAAGCTATTAAATACGTTTTATATTGTAAAAGCAGAGATTTTACAATGACATAGGCCTAGCCAGTTACATCTCCGAGCTTCTCCGTCCATACATTCCGTCAAGATCTCTGCGGTCATCTTCTCAAGGCCTCCTCACAACAACCACAGCCAGGACCAAGTCATACGGCTCCAGGGCGTTTTCTCATGCTGCACCCGAGATGTGGAACGCCCTACCATCCTCACTTCGAGCAGTAGACACTCTCGACCAGTTCAAAACCAGCCTAAAATCCCACCTATTCCAACTAGCCTATCCACACACATTGTAGAACATTATGTTTTCAGTCAGCTTGTAACTTTGTATAAATTTGTATCGATGTTTATTGTTAAGCGCATTGAGATTTCTTTCGGTTATGTTATGCGCTCTATAAGAATGATTTATTATTATTATTATTATTTGAGAAAATTTTATAAAGGAATATGCATACAATTTATTCAAAGAAAGAGACGAATGGTTGCAAAAAAAATATGAAAAAAAATAACATTAGACAGCTATTCCTATGGAGATCAGTGATTAGTTTGTTTATTGGTGTAATCACGTAGTGGAAATACCAAAGAAAAACATAATGACAATGTAAATTTCTTTACAAACTGAAAGTGATTTGTTACTAATGCACATGACGTTTGGCTAAATGCACACGCCACAGTATTGTATCCTAATACCGTTGCACTTTCGTTGAAAATGATACTTATATCAAGTTCGCATTCTCGGTGCGAAATCGAAAACAAACTAAATGAGATTTTCTTGCACGAAAAAATTGATGAAACCCTTATTTCAAAACAAGTAATGTAACCAAATGTGCTAAACGGCGAATTAGAAACCCGTATTGTAGCTGACTCTATGAAACTTCTTGAAATTGAATGAACTTTCTGTCTGTCTGAATGAACAAGCTGTGAAATTAATTGGACCAGAAAACCATATCATAGCGACATAATAAAAATCTCATATCCATTCACGAGCCAGTACTGAGCATAGTCTTGGCTCCTCCACAAGACGTCTGCGTGTTTGTTTCTGTCACGTGGATGTTCTGCTACTTTTTAATAAGCCAACTCACATCTGAATTCAAGAGCGTATACAAATGCTTCTGTCGCGATAACTTGCAACAAGTTACGCTGCGGAGAGCCTTTTCAAAATAGACTAATATGCCGATCCTCATCCTCAATATGTATGATGCTTATTTCTGAGGTTGGGGCATTGCTTTTTACAATAATTAGCATTAACATACTACAGCCAATGTAAATAGTTATTTTGTATCTCTTTGTGTGTCAGATTCCGACTGTTTATTCAACTGTAAGGTAGTAGTGGAGCCGTCTCTGCGAGTGATCGTTGGTGCCTTGGTCAATACGACTGTTCCCGGTATATCCAGGCCTTTTACCTACCAGTGGAACCTGCAGATCATGGATACAACCAAACACGTCTACATGGATGTCCCACAATGGGAGGCAGGACTCATATACAGTGGTCTGTAGAATCAAAGTGCATCGTAAAATAACCTTGAAGTTGGTTTCAAACTACCTACGATAACATTTACAATTCTGACAGAATAATATTGACCTATCGCTGTTTTGGCGAGTTGGCCACGCCCTTTAGACAACCCTATGGATTTTTTTTACGTTAAGTTTTGTATGTCTCAGATTTTTGGCGTTCTGCGTCCATTTGTATGCCATGCAATTGGACAAAATTTCAAAAACTGCGTAGACGCGATAAGTCAATTCAGCAGTGATTTCAATTATATCATACTTCCATCACATTTTGTTTCGATACTTTATTTGTCGGTCCTTGGTTCAGACGAACATCTCCACTTTGATGCCATATATTGATGAATAGGTCCTATTATATAACACCCAAGTAAATCCTTGTCATTTGATTGGAGGATTGTGGGTCACGCGGCATTCATTAATCGAACCAAAGCACGGCCTACGTCATAACTGTGCATTTTTGGTTCCATTCACCGTGCATTTTCGTCCCATCCCTTTTGATCTATCGCAAGCCGCGCGCACGCTATGCCGCGCAGCGGCAGGGCGGTATACGATCTTTGCGCTTTTTAGACAATAGCAGTACAAACCTGGCCTTCGAAGTTGATGCAGTTGCCTTGATGATTTTTTTGCATTGTTTAAGAACTTACAATGTTCATTTTCATTGTTGTCAATGATTTGACTTTTAAGCTTTGTTGATAAATAGTGGATATGATACAATTTTGTGAGTTTTGTTTGTGCTAAATTTTATTCTCCAAGCGAATGACAAAGATCCACTTGGATGTTAATGAATGTTTTGCATTCGTGCAATAGTGAGAATATTTTCATTCGCTGAGAGATGGAATGTTCCATTCAACTCGGTTCCGCCTCTTTGAATGGAACATTCAATCTTTCAACTCACGAAAAATTCTCACCATTACACACTCATAATACTATTAACATTGAGTAGGGTCCACGCGTGCTCCAAATGCACATGTAGGGCCTTTGTATCTTTCCGTGGGCACATTCTTACATTCTTATTCTCACGGTTCTTACTTGACTGCGTCATACACGCGCACGCACTAAACATACCACTTTGCTCTACTTTTGGTTCCATTGGCTCCAATGCTACACAGTGTGCAGTACCCATGGTTAAGTTGAAATGACGTCACACTTACGAAATGAACAGACACATTTCAACACGTTCTAATTCAAATTCAACTTTACTTTAAAAACGACTACGACTTTCGGAATTTTGATTCTAGCCGGGTTTTTTTCGTTTGCCAATTCAGATTCCACTTCCTGTACCGTCATAATCAAGGAGGACTTTTTGGAACGAGGACGAGACTATCGGATGACCTATGAGGTGCAAACTCCAGTATTTAACGAGATCCAAACCAGCCAAGCTGACGTGTTGCTAAGAACGAACCGATCACCAGCCGGAGGGAAATGTCGCATATCGCCCATGTCAGGTATGAGTCTACACGGGTTTTTCGAAATTCAATATAGTTTACATACCAGTAGCGCAGTAGTTGCGTATTCGGGTTTTGGTGTCCCGAAATTGATTTTTTTTTTTCAGAAAAAAGTTGTCCAAAGTTGTTATGATTACAAATTTGCTGAGGCATATCCGTGCTCAATGGTAGCCAGGACGGTCACCATTAAATAAAAAGGAGATGGCACCTTCATCTGAAAACTCGGGATCTGTTCAAAGCGGACGAGCTTGGTCACCGCAGCACAATTAGTGGCGCTATTTTTGATGGGATATTGGCCGACAGGCAGACGATTTGGCCGACCAAAAATAGTGGGTGGGTGTGACACCCGAACAGCCCCCTCTAGCGACACCCATAGAAAACCAAACAACTGGCTTAATCACGACAATCTATTTATGAAAACGTGGGCATAATTTACATTAAAATGGCAAGTATACAAGCGAAAACTCAACAATGTGTTACCAGAGGATCCACTGATCGAGTTGAGAAATTGACACTAGGCTTTGCCTGAAGGACTAGAATTTGAACATCTCCACTACCGAAATCCCCTCAAGGCAGCTCCTCATTTCCTTCTGCAAGGCCTATACCTCGACGGAGTTCAATCATGTTTGCTTTTGCAGAGCTCGTTTTCCTGCCTCTGATTCTGTTAATTCCAGCTCACGAGGTACAGTTTCACAGTTAAGTTTTCAGGTGTTTTGCAGGGATAATTCTCTGACTGAATTGGTTCATACAATGGTAAGTGTTCTCGGCATAAACCAGTTGAGTATTCACTGTGAGAAAATGAGGGTTAAATTGCTTCCCAGGTGTATACTCTAAACAAACGTATTTTTTGTTTAGAATTCTAGTTCGCATATCATGTGTTGTTTTAGTCTCTAGAATAGACTTGTACTTTGTATCAAAATACTGTAGTACACATTAAATTAAATTTTAAATACTTTCAGAAGTGCTAAACACTTTTCTTAATTAAACTTATATTCAAGGATGACCAAAAAAAAAAAAACAAAAAACACCCATAGGGGGAGGGATTTTTTTTAATCTGAAGAAGTAAAAAAAAAAAAAACAAAGCAAACTTGTGATACGAGAACGTTAAACATGATTAATAAATACCTTGGAGAGTTGATGGTTTCTGATTGGTCGAGACTCGATCACGTGGCCGGGCATTAACGGTGATAATGGACCGGCTTCATAGATCAAGCGAATAAATGGCCCTCAACTAGCATTGATCCAGCCCCGTTCAGCCCCATGCAAGCCAATGATTGGTCAAAATATAGTAACAGTCCTGCGGTAGCTTGTTACAATAGAGCACTGCACATGCGCTCAACCCTCATCGCGTGAGACTGACGCGCGCGTACGCAACACAGTTGCTAGGGATGCGTGCGTGCGCGCGCGTAAGGAAGTTTTGAAACGACATCGTATATACTGAGGATGTTTACGACGAAAGCGTAGATCTACGATTTATTTTCTTTGAAGACTTCACCCACCGACATATTTACCTTTCCTTAACCAAGCATCTTTGTAATTCCGGACACAAGGAATGTGTAAACGAGATTTCAGCTTCCTCCATCAGGTAAAGATATGAAAACATTGTTGTAATTTGTTTCGCTACGGCAGCAGTTTCTGTTGAGTTTACGTCGTTATAGCTGCTAAGCTAAAATATGGCCCATGAACATGAACACAAAAAAGTCTGGAAATATCGCCGAAAAAAAGTCACAAAATTGGAGCATTTTAACTGTTTATTTCGTTAAAAAGGTATTTATTAATGGGAATAACAGTGTGAGGAGCCGGTCTTCACTGCGTGATAATGACCGGGTGTGGGGGTGACCGCTGTTAATGGACCTCGACTCGTCTCGGTCCATTAACAGCGGTCACCCCGACACCCGGTCATTATCACGCAGTGAAGACCGGCTCCTCACACTGTTATTCCCTTATTAATGAAAGTCGACGTATAAACAATATACTTAGGCAACATTTTGTCCTCTTTTTTATCGTTTTGTTATGCGTTCTTAATTTTAACCTTTTGCTCCTTTATCTTGTGTTTCAAATTACGATCTAGGGTTGCTTATATCTCTAACTTATTTCATTAAACTGATGTTTCTTTTAGATGTGCCCAAAAAAATGAAAAGATATTTAGTTATTTTGTGGCTGCTGCTTTGTGGCAGAATCTTGTGATAAAAGTTCTCATATACATTCAAATTGAAACAAAGAAACTCTGTTGAATTCTCTAGCAAACAAATAAATGATTTGAACCGTTTTCGAATTCCTTTGTTTACATTTCACAAGTGCTTGCTTTGGTGAATTCGAATGCTTAAACTGACGCACCTAGAAGCTCGATCGAAATCGAATGACCCAATGTAAATGTGAAATTTTAATTTGTGAAAGTTTAATTTGAATACATAATTTTAGAAATTGAATCGCTAAAAAGTACAATCGCATGCTCTTAGATCTAAATTGAACGATATATTTAGTTAATTGAATGTTGATCTAAACTAATTGAATGTTGATCGTTATCACTTTGTCTGCCAAATTTGACCGGGCAAATTTATTTTAAACACATTGCAAAAAAAGCAAACTTAAGCTGATGAATTTATAAACAGAAAATTACAAAAAAGACGAATTTTGTAAGACATGGTTGTCATAACATATTTTGGTATAGGTTTATGTGATGTTTTAACACATTTCCAGGCAAAGCTGTAGAAACTACCTTCCATATCGAATGTTCTGATTGGTCGGCTGTCGATGACACGGACCAATCGCTGCACTACTCGTACTTTGCCATGATAAAAAATGAGGATTATTACAGCGCAGAGGCCTTGCTACTTCATGGTATCGACCTCACTAGATTAGAGATGACACTTCCTGCGGGCCAAGCGGGCAATGACTACCTACTCGACATTGTGGTGTACATTTTCGATGTTGCTCTGGGATATACCACTGTTCATCTTCAAGTTCAGGTTAGTAATCATCATCTTCATTTTTTGATTGTGTATAACATTCCCACTTTTTTTGTCATGCTACACAAACCCTGACCACTGAATACAATGTAAAGGCAAGAAAATGAATATTAACCATTAAGGCATAGTATAAGCCATTTTCCCGGAGACAAACATTGTATCCGAATAGTGTAAACTCCACATAGCCACATATAATTTGAAACATGAACAAGTTTCTCAATAGTATCCATATATGTCTTTCATTTTCACATCTTTATTACTGATATTCGGGTTTTTCTACATAAATGTTGTTATGCCTGCACAGGTATTTCCCTTTTACAAACAGAGCACTATCATTATATAACTTTGACTGAGAGGTGCTGTAAATTTTAGCGTTTAAATTTGAATAAAGTTTAAATAATTGGTCCTAATTTCGGCAAATTTACGTGGAAATAAGCAATATAATTTGAAAGCAAATCGTTTGTTGTCGGTTATTTTAATGCTTTTCAAATAGTATTTGAGGCAAGCAGAAACGGCACTAATGGGAATGTTTTCAAGCACATTCGATAATGTATTGTCCTCAGTTAGGAAAGGTAGTCAATCGTTGTAATTAGTATCTAATTGTGTTCTGAATTCATAAATTAGCACCAATTAACACATGAATCAGTTTGCTTTGATTGCGTTGTTTATTATTAAGGCAAACGGAAATATATCATGCTTTCATTTTCAGCATGGTAATACGGCATTGAACTTTAATGGCTTCATAGTGTCATTAGTTTAAAGTTTCTTCTTCGTGCACTACAACAAATTCGATTTATTTTTCTACCATTTTTCACGTCGGCAACCTTAACACTCTGAAAGGGGGGGGGTGTTTTTGGCACAAATAGATCCGCTTTGCAAACAGACTGGCTCGTGAACGTTCGTAAAAGACATTTTACATTAACATTTAATCTTTTGGAAACTGAAATTTTAAATGGAGCCCGACCATCTTGTGGAAATAAATTTAATGGGCAATCTATGTGCTACAGGTAGTGGAGTAATCGGGTAATCCTATATAGGCCTACGTACTTCTTTCTTTACGATACCTTGCTTTTCAACAGACGACACTACCTGATATAGGAAGCTTGCTCGGGACAAACCCAAGTCTGCTATTGGATAATATCCTGTCAGGTGACCCTGATTCTCCAACTGTCATGCGCAAACTCATCACGCTGTCATCAGTACTCAATGAAGCAAACAGATTGGTAAGCTGTCATAGATGTTGTCGTATTCAGTGGCGTATCGGGGGGGGGGGCTGGGGGCTTGTGCCTCTCCACACATTCCCAGTGCCCCCGCCCCTTAGATGATCCCACGTGGCATTATGAAATGGGAATAAATTAGTAAATAAAGGTGCCCCTTTATAACATGCTGGTCCCCCCCCCCCCCCGCGGCCTCCGCCCTCCAATGCTTGACCGTTTTTTGTTTCTCTATATTTTTCTTTAGGAAAAGATTGCGTCTGAAAATCCTGACAACAGCACTCGCACAAATAACACTCAAGCTTCTTCTCTGCTTGCTCATCGGACACAGGTCAGTACATGTACACCGGAGTCGTATTGGTTTGTTAGAAGGTCAGGGTCTGCTATAAGCTTAGGGCAACTATATGGTTTGCCGTTCACATCAACTCCACAACTTTTAAAATTCAATTAGACAGAATGATCATTTCATGTCAACAGGTTTCGGGGAGTCTAATACGAATACGGATTCTAAATCGCAGTTTGAAAATTTTGATTTAGTGTAAGGTTTTTAAAAAAGTGTGGTCAAAGCAAATCACATTTTGTTTGTTGTATTTGTTTTCATCGAATGTGCAGTTCAGTTATATATGTTGTTTCAGAAACAACATATTTTGGCATTTACATTTCACTAAACATTTATCGTATTGGCGATTAAAAAATATCAATTTATTTTAAAGAAACGTACATGATTTGCATTATCTTTTTATTTTTCACAAAGACAAAGTGAACGGGCCACATTTCACTTGTTTATTTCCGTTCATCTCAGGAACACTTTCTTTTTAATTTGTTTGTAACGTGGTTCTGTTGCATTTCCTTCTCAAGCATTAATGTTTTCATTGAAATTGATGGGGATTGTTGGACAATCTCGTTCTCATGGTGTCGAGCAGTACGCTCCCACCGCCACCTGCTCTCTTACTCTGGCATTGGATTATTTTTCGTATCCAAACTGTTTGGATACGTATGCAAATTAGGAATAGTCTGGTGCCTGACTGTGCTTTACAATCAGCGTTTGTATGTATGCAGTGTCTGGGGCTTGTTTACGAGGTGAAGTGGACGCAATAAGTCACAGTAAACGTTACAATACGTCATACACGTTAAAAATAAAAACACAAAGTTATGCTATAAATCCATTACTGTTTCAAATCAGGATACAGGAAGAAAGTTTGACATCCAGGGGTTAGTGTTGGACAACGAGGTGAAAATAAAGTAACCCATGCGGACGAGGTTGAATGTACAAAAGGTTCACTCATGCATATCTCAGCAAAACAAAGGCATTGCCCTCCAAGGTGCCACGTCCATACGAATTTGAATGAAAAATGTACGTGACCGAATGAGCAAACTGGGAAACGGCACAGGAAATCTTCATAGTAAACGTATTCCGACAAAACTGTAATAACATTTCAGATATATTTATACATAAATGAAGGCAACCTCGAATTTTGGTTTTGTGTGAGCAAGGTATTGTTATCATTTCGTGTAGGCCTATGACTTCAATTAATGTCTAACATGACAAGGTTTTACACATTTTTCCTTTTTCCCCCGTTCAAAAAAAAACTGAATGAAAAGATTTGTTTCTGTGGGCGGTTTATCCCATACGTGTTGCCCCGTGACGTCATAGAAAAGCGACGGGGATTATTTTCCCATACAGTACCAGTAGGTTCGACGGAGGGCGCCCTCTCCACGCACATTTCCAGGGCTTTTGAGAATTAGCACTGCGGGAAAAGGGACGCACTTTGAATAATTAGTTACATAAGTATTAAAACGCCTGGAAAAACAGCAAATTATTGGACTGATTTTTACTTCTTGCCCTAAGTTTGGTGGAAGGAGTGATTTTTTCCCTTTTTGGACATGTCTTTGCCCGGAAGATTATACAAAATAAATAAGTATATAGAAATCCTTTAATTGCAAATTTTTATTTGTATACTAGTCTGTGCTCATATTCCGTAAAGGACTTGTTTTGTCTTTCTTTTTTGTATGTTGACAGATGCGCACCCTCATGGTAAGCACATTGGCTGAAGTAACTCGCCGCCTTTATGACTCTTGGGCGGATTTGGCCAATGAGACTGAAGACACAGAGACCTGGGTGCAAGCTGCTAGCACGGTCGGTCTTCTTGCCGATACACCGGACGAACTCTCTCCCGGGACACAGGTCAGTACAAGTATTCAACTACTGCAAACAATATTTAAACACTATGTCTTGTGTCCGCAATCAATTTGATACTACATTTGTAATTTCAAATTACGCCCCTGTGTAAGTAGACCTAGGCAAGACGTTTTCTCCAAACAAATGGTTTATCGAGTATAACTGATATATTTTAACCAATAAAATCAATTAACAATTCAGGCAGTAAAAAATCTCCTACTTCCTAAATATTTTTAACAAAACACACTACACTATCTCTCCAAAAAAGTGTCCGTCTGAACCTTTTTTTTTTAATAACTACAAAACCATGAGGTCAATTTTGAAAAATTGTGGTTGTGCAGATACTCCTAAGCCTTGGCCTCAACCCCTACGCATCACAACACAGTTGTCAATTGATCACAACATCATTTGTGGACACTTTGACCAAGTTCCACGCCTACATCAAGTTCAGTGCTGTAATATGTAAGCTGTGTAAAATCCTGAAATGCTCTTTTTTAATTTGAAAAAATGTTTGAATGCTGGATGCTCTGTCTTTCTTGAATTCCCAGTCACTGCTCGTAGACATTCTGGAAAATGTGACTGCCAACCTGATTCGAGTGTCGCTATTCATGCCAAGGCAGCAATACACTCTAGTTTGCAACGGTAAGATTGTATTACAGCTTCACCGGATTCCAGTCACTCTTAATATAATAGTCAAGTGGCTGTTAATGTGGGCAGTACAGGGCGTAATCCCACCTCGGTACCATGGTAACATTACCTGGTCACGAAGGCCTCCAGCGAATTCAACATTTGCGGGTTGAAGAAACGGGTTATATATACACTGTTAAACATGCCCGTAAATTTACGGACTCCGTAAAGTGAAATATTCCGTAGTTTCGGCGTAATTATACGGATCTTTCCGTAAATGCAAATATTAATTATGCTAATTAGCGTGATTACAATCAACCACATTGGCCAAAACACCTACACGTAATATAGTACATCTTGGTATACGTGGGAACCATCATCAGTGTAAATGTCATTTTATTTTTGGTTCAACACAGGAATGTGATTCTTGAAAGAATTACTGAGGGTCATTGCTTTTTTGGTGACATACAATTTATACGGACATTAACGTTCCAAAGCAATTTACAATAAACCTTTCAACTGTGTTGTTTTATCCCCTCACTTGATATGTAACGCCATGTCAATAAGTACCCTTTGTCTGAGCTGGGATTCATGGGAGAAAATAAATAAATAAATAAATAAATAAACACATCTGAAGAAGGTCTGCCATGGAAGGTCATCAAATGAATGCTGGAAATGATTTATGAGACAAACATTACAAATTTATCAACCTCGTATTTGAATACCTCTAAACTACTGTGGTGTACTTTAAACAGGACCAGTCGTCCGATATATTCACCGCATCACTAAGCAATATGTTTGTATGTAACCAGCAGTAATCGTTCCTTATTTTAACAGATATTTTACACGCTATAGATGGCTTGCAACAGGCAGCGGTATATGACAAAACGGAAGCTGACACGGTATCTCCTGAAGAATGGGCTATGGTACAATATTTTCTTCCTCGAGAACTTGACAGGAGTAACCATGGATAACCTACAGAATTTGTATTTGTATTATATTGACCCCTGATGAAAGTTAGGAAACCTCAACAAATTTTATGCCCATCGGCCAAAGTGCTTAAGAATAATTATTACAAGACGTTTTGTAGGCACATTGATCCCCCGTTCCTGATAGAGTTAATTTCGTTGCACATTTGGCAGAAGCCTATCCAGGTTTTGTGTTCAGTGGGGCAAAACCACAGGCTTCGTCAGACCAGTTGGGGATCAGAATGCGGATGTGACAACAAATTGCAGACAGACCTCTCCGTGTCCATGCAATCTGAATGATATCCTCCATCTATGATTAAATTACACAATTCATAAAAGTAACCAAGAAAAGTTATGTTATTAACGATAGATTACCCTTTCAGAAGTAAAGAACAGCAAAAATTATCTCACAAGCATGCTTGATAGTTCGGAGACTTGCCTCGATTGGCCACAATGGCCTTTCACTCTGTGACAATTGACACAACAAAAACGGAGTAAAACCACAATTAAAAAGTGGCGCAATTCTCTAAATAGACCCTTTCATAAAAATGATCACTGCTCAGTCAATCATGAATGTAATGACATGATCAGGGTGTCATTTTAAAGAGGAGATTCAACCCTAACAGAGGATATCTCCCTTTGATTCAAATGTGCCCTACTTCTGTTCCAATTAGTAATAATATCTCGGTTTCGTTTTCTTTCATCCGCCCCGTATATAGCGTGATTTCCCACGGGAGAATTTGCTTTGTATATGAACGGAAATATTATAACAGACATCTTATATACATTTCACCTTATATACATCTTATATACATTTCACCAGACAAGAGATGTAGTTACTCGCTGTGACCGAGTGGAAGACGATATGTCATCCAGCCTGCTTCATCGGCTGTATCCCGGAGATCCCTTACTCCGGCTTCGTAGCAGCAAGCTCCAGCTAGGATTGTGGAAGGACCCGTTGTTTAACGGTCAGGGACGGGCTAAAGTGCTACCTCTTACCCGCCTACTTGTTGACGGCTTCTCTCTGCCTTCAACGTTGCTCAACTCACTAGATAGCGCAGTTAGAAACGAAATTCAGGTCGAATCATTGAAGGTTAGATTTTGTTGTAACAAACGTTTCTCATAATAGTTTGGTCTTTTTTTCTCTACTTTCTTTTCATCTTCGAAATTCGTAGAAGTGTTGATGATTTCGCATTGAAAGCCAAGATGATTAATCAAACCATATATCAGCAACCAATATTTTTAGACAAATGTATTGCATTTTGAAACTTCTTAACTGTTCTGTAATGTGCACTGAGATTTGTGTAGCGCTGGAAATGTTATCTGCAATCTACAGAAACTGTGATTTCAGAAATGTCTGACTATTAAAGTGTGCTTCTATTAAAGTCTGTTTCCTTATTTTGTTATTGTTAGACTAGAGAGCTTAGCTTCAATCCCTACATCTGGGGAGACAACCTTGGCCTCAGTATAACATCACTCGTAAAGAGCATGGAATTCATAGACAATGAAAACCGAAAGATCAACGTACAAGATGCCAAGGCACCGATCGATGTAATGTTCTACCGGAGAAAAGAATCCTTGGGCCCAGTACCACCAGACGTGGGCGATGATTCTTTAGGGGAGGGAGAGCTATACGACCCTTCACCTGACACCTACCAATACGCCGTGTCTGTGCAGTTCTCGTCAGGGGACACGAAGTTCTGCTACACGCTGTACATCCCCGACGAGGAGTTCACTCATGAGATGCAGGGTAACGTGACCGAGGGCCTCTTCCGTGTGTTTTCAGCAGCCACTCGATCCCAACACGGCATCCAAGACGTGGATGACAGAGATCCTTGTGTTCCCGTGACCGAACTAGCTGTTGATGAAGACAGCGTAGTCAACAGTTTCCAGGATTTTGAGGATGATCTGAATGCCACGTTCGGGATCCAAATCGCAGAGACTCAGTGCATATTCAGGAAAAAATGGGACTTGTCGTCTTCTGTTCTCCTTAACACCGAACAGGGAATCAATCTAACGTTTGAATTCCACCTGCATAGCTGCATGTACTGGAACGAGAAGAGTGAGACATGGAGACAAGATGGATGCAGGGTGAGGTCAATGTCCATCGTAAATCATATCTAGATCTGACATAAATATATGGAATTATGTTCCACCATGTATTAGCATAAGAAAACTTCAAACGGTGAAAACGTTTGGGGGGAAAAAACTACAGCACTCTGATAACTTTTCACGTTTAAATCACTCAAAATAGAGGAGCTATACTGTAGGTGAAACCAGATTAAATATGTATCGTAGTATGTTTAAAGATTAACTGTTATTTGTCACTTGTTATCATCCCTTCATTATTGGGCCTGCCTTTGGCCCACAAAGGGCTCCATTTAAAATGATCACATGTTTTAATTGACGTATTTTTTGTCCAGGTCAGCTCACTATCCACCAATAATGTGACGGTCTGTCAATGCAACCACCTGACCAACTTTGCATCCAATTTTGTTCCTGTCAACACCATCGACTTCATTTACGTGTTCACTGAGAGCAATTTGGGAGATAACGCGGCCGTTTTAGTAGTTGCCATCGGGATCCTGTGCCTCGCTATATTACTAGCCCCTCTTCTACGGTGGAAGGACAAACAAGACTTACTCAGGGTAGCTTGATGAATTTAGCATTCATTTGATGTTTAAAATATAGTTAAATTGCATCCTTTAACTCTTGGCACTGAATCAGCGGTGCATTGGCAAATTTCCGAATCTGGACTTACAATGGAACAGACCCGGTTCATGTCGGCACTGTGCCGGCATTGTGCTAGTATCTAGCACTTGACGAGCATAGTCCTGATAAAGACTTGCTTATTTCGGCACAGAACATCGCCAGATGCCGGCTAGCTGACGATATTGCTCGGATCAGATACTTTGGCTGCGTATTCAACAATTAGCGCTATATTTAAATCAATTTGGTTGTGTACACTGTGCCACGCAATCCAAAGGCATCTAGAGAAGAATTTTGGTGATTTGAACACAAGACGTAATGTACCCTAACCATGGGCCACACCCTTCCACTATGTTAGCAACACGCTTTCATGTCTTCTTCTTAACCGAATTCTATTTTTTTTCAGTGGGCTGCCCGTCCTCTTATCGATAACACGTGTGAAGACACGTACGTGTATACAGTGTCTGTATATACGGGTCATGCCAAGCACAGTGGTACACGGTCAATAGTTTACTTTGACTTGATCGGTGATGCAGGGGAGACGAGGGATCGAAGACTCCAGGATATGGAAGGCTGTAATGTAAGTATCATGGCTCAATTGCATTGGCGATACATGTACCACTAATATCAAAAATATTCAATGTGTGATGATTAGCGACATAATGTACGATTGAGTTCAGTTGTATAACAAGGAAATGCGTGGTACACACAAATGGAAAGAACGCTTATTTAAGGAGCTGTTCGTGTTTTTAATTATGTATGGTTCTCTCATCTACTAAGCTATGCTCACTACCGTTTTTAATCTATCATCGGAGCAGAACAGTTCTTATGAGGGATACAAAAATAACGCCCAAGCCATATTAGGTGTTGACAATGGTGCATATATATTTGGAAGATGCAGAAAATGTGGACACTACGCTTCTATATTGCGGGACTTGACAAACACGCTTCAGTATAGAAACCACATAGATGACTGCGCTGTTTTGCACTTCAGTGTGCATACGAATCGAGTACCAAAGTTTAGTTTGTGAATTTCCTACTCAAACAAATATAGAGCACATACCATGATTAAGTACAGTCATAATGTAGATTCCATTCGCCGACAAGAACAAACGTTTCCACAATCTCTTACATGTACGTACATGACAAACAGAGGATGAGAAGGTAGTTACTTTACGATGGCTTTTATGTACACTAGTTAAGAGCAGTTGAGACGATATTCGTTTCATATAGAAATCATTTTATCTCAGACCGAATCGCATATTATGTGCCCGCAAGTCAATCTGTTAGCTTATCCCTGTACAGATTCCGGATACTGGTACGCTGAACCACTACCTGATGGGCGTGCCTCGCAGCCTTGGACCGCTGTCATGCATGAGGATCAGACATGATAATTCCGGCGAAGGACACTCTGCATCCTGGTTCGTGTACTGGTTCGAGGTGTATGACCTACAGACTGGGAGGAGGTAAGAAGTCATTTACAACACTGGGGATAATTGTGCAAAGGTAATACAGTTAACAAAAGATGCAATAAACGACTTTTGGCAAGTTCATAAACAAATAAGGAAAGTGGAACATCAAGTGGAATTGATGGCCAAGCACACTGATGACACACTCCACAAGTGATGTGATCTAATTACCCTGACGCGTATGAAAGACCACATTTTGCTCCATATTCTTCAATATCGACCGGTATGTCACTAAGTTAAGATCATCGCTCCTGCTATTTACACACAAGACAGTAATCTCAAAACCTATTAGAAAAAAATCAAAAGAGATCGTTTTTTATTTTATTTGTTCCTTATTTCAATTGGCTAATTGAAATAGGAAAACAATAAAATATAAAAAGAAATCTTTATTGATTTTGTTTTTGCTAATTTAATATAACATAAAGCTGACTTTATTGTCTTTTGTTCAAGGTATTGTTTTGTACTGAATGACTGGCTGACTGCGGATTCCAACAAGCACGAGGTCCCTAGCCGTTCACTCTCCCTGGCCGGTCACGAGGAAACCTTAGCCATTCAATCAGACTTCTACCGCATCGTCTGCGAAACCTTTGCTGACCACCATCTGTGGAACTCACTCGTCAATCGTCCACTGCCGAGTCGTTTTAGTCGGGTTCAGCGCCTTGGCGTCTGCTTATCTCTTCTCTATCTCTTCATGATCACCAATGCCATGTTTTACTCAGTCGACTCACTGGAAGGCAAGCCCGTCTGTCCATCCTTTCGTCTGGCACTCGGTCCATACACACTGACCTCCCAGCAACTCTACGTGGGAGCCGTCTCTTCCCTGATTGTGTTTCCGATCAATGTTGTCATTATCCAGATCTTCCGGCGCGCCCGTCGGTCGTCCGAGGCACCGACGCTCAACGGGAAACTCGTGGAGTTCGCGTCCCAGTACGGGCAAACTGTGGGCCGGTTCCAGCAACAGGGATCCCTTCCGCACTGTTCAGTCTACCTGGGTTGGTTTCTGATCTTCTTGTCTGTGCTGGTCGGAGGCTTGTTCGTGGTGCTGTACAGTCTTCAATGGGGCAAGAAGCGATCGGAAGCTTGGCTGATATCAATGTTTACGTCGCTTTTTGAATCTGTGCTGTTGGTTGAACCTGCCAAGGTACCCCTTTATTAGTACGCGATCGCTATTTTGTATCATAACCGCTTCACAAGAAATCTTGCGCGAATCTGAACTTGAATTATAAATAGTCAAGTAGAAAACGTTTTTGTTATCAAGTTGATTGACAATTTCGATTTTTTGCAATACGTTGACCACACATTCTTTTAAAATATACAGTAGTGTCAATGACGATAATCAGTTTCATTCTCATTGATAAAGCCTTTATTTGTGACTTGAATATTCCGACCTTTTTTACTTTTAAGGTACGTGGACAAAAAGGGACACCCAGATTACTCGTCATTTATTGAACTTTGAACAGGGATATACATGTTAATACAAATAATTTTATTAGAGTCACGTTTAATTAAAACGTTAAACTGTTTTCCTATCGTATTTCTCCAACTGTCATGCAGACCGTGCTGGTGGCTGTGCTTATCAGCTGCTGCTGCGGAAGGATTCTTCGAAAAGCAAACTTCAAACATCCCGATAAATTTATCAATGTGGACAAGACGTCAAATGGTAATCTTTGACAATCATTCGTTGTAATCGCAGCATTAACCATGCGCGGATCCGACGTCCCACTGGGGAGGAGGGGGGGGGGTCGAAACCCCACAGCTCTGACCTAATTTATTTTCTTTTTCATAGAAATACATTAAAACATAATGTGACCCCCCCCCCCCCCCCGTGATCTGACTCCCAAAAACAATTATACTGGTAAGAATATCCGCCTCTGCAAAAACATTCGGACTGAACCAGCTGGGTTACGGGCCCCGCTATTCTGTAACATATAGTATTAATGATCGTTGGATTTGAACAGCGCCCCCATTGAAAATATGGTACCAGCCCCCTATTGATTTTACGGAGGGCAAGTGTCCGGAGAAAAAAAACCTGTCTAAATGTCAGCATTGATTTGATCATCATGAACTCCCCCCCCCCCCCCCCCCCCCCCCGTAGAAATTCCTGAATCCGCCCCCGATCACCTTATTTTTTCCATTATAATGCATGCAGGTGTTGCAGATGTTGCAGATGATGTTCTTTCTTTTGTTTCTTTCTTCCTTGCACTGCTTTCATTTCTTATTTCAGGAAGTCAGAGTGAACATCCCAATGTCACATCAACTACCACAGGCGCCAGCAACCCGACGTGGTGGCAGAAAAAGATCAACACCCAGGATATCGTGGAACAGATAGGGCGCCACCTATTGTTCATGGTCCTGATCCTAGCAATCACTTTGATGTACAGACAAAATGATGCTTTCTACATGACTAAGGCCGTAAAAGACGCCTTCCTCGGTCCAAAGCCGTACTTTATGAAGGTGAAAAAGTAACATCTTTCAAAGTAACCGGTCGGTCTAATTTCAATAACATTATTAAAATCAGTCATTTAAAATATCGACCGCGATAACAAAGTCTTTCATCATGCAAGCAGGAACGAGTGCTACTATCACTGCATACAAATGATTTTTTTTTATACGATCTCGTTTGTCCATACATTTAACGTACTTTTAGCACAAATTATACCACCATTTTTTGGAAGTCTCACGTGTGACTCACCTATCTCAACCACAGTTTGTTTTATAATGAAAAAAAAATTATCTGACCGAATGTAGTTTAGTGGAAATCAGCTGATTAAACGATTTTTCCCTCGTTTCTTAATATAGATAAGAACCTTTGAAAACTATTGGGATTGGACAAACATGGTTCTTATTCCAACGCTATACAACAACGAGACTTACACAGGTAGACCTCTAGACGAGACAGAGATGAAGTTTGTGGGAGAGACGATCGGGTTCAGAGTTGGGTCTGTCCGCCTGCGCCAATTACGCATCCATCCAAGTACGAAACATTGCCACTTTGCAATTGTTATTTCTTTCAGTTGGAGAAATACACGGTGGTATTTGATTAATCAGTACCTTAACAAGATTATTAGATCAGTTACATGCACATCTAATACTATTCTTGACAACATGAAATAAGCTCTACGTAATATAGAAAATGTTTCTTCCATCAAATTATTTCAGAGAAAAACCATTTATTTACACGAAAAAGGGCCTCACTAGGAATCGAACTAGGATCCCCTAATGAAATGCCACGTTTAAATCTGAGTACTCCATGAATCCGTTGAATATGCAGATCTTTATTCCTTATTATAATCATGACTACCCCAAAGCCCTGTACAAGAACCTGCAAAATCTGGACAGCCAACGTATTGCAAAACAATGCGACCTGAGGCGAATTAGCGGGTGAAGACACTTTCATCAATAATTCAGTAGTTTCGATGGAATTATTGCAATAAGCTCAGATTCTCGGGCTCTTATCTTCAATTAAAGTTATCCAAACTGTTTAACTGGGTAGCCCATTCAGTAGAATCCCGTGGGTCCTAGTTAAGGGAAGACTGTGAAGAAATTACAGGTTTAGAGGTGGGAGGAAAAGCCCAGAAGAATATTCTGAGGAAAACCCACGGAATCAGGTATAGGGACTGAAAACCCAAACTACATTTTTGACCCAGGCGGGATTCGATCCCGAGTCACAGCAGTGGAAGGCCAGGAAAGTGCCCCTACGCCAACCTGACTCCCCAACGTTTATTCTTTTTTTTTATTTCAATATGCAATATAAAAACATACAAATACAACAGATTGAGCATATATATCGATCTTTCATAAAACCAGTTTGATCATCATTGATAATTTAAAGGAAAACAGTCTTCAGTCTATTTGCAAGTGCTTTGGCACAAATGCTATAATCAACATTAAGGAGAGGGAGATGACGCCAATTGAAGGAAAAATTTAAAGATGCAATCATGTAATGCTTAATATTCGACCAAAAGACTTTATAAAATTCAGCTGGGATGCCATCACAACCAGGGGTCTTATTATTACTCATTTCTTTAAGAACGGCTGGACACTCTTCCAACGTTCATTCTATAACAGGTGTAATGTAACAGTGGTGTAATGTCACTGTTCTCTTGTCATGAATAAACATAATGTTCCCATCGAAATAACGAAAAATTCATGATTTCCCAACCCGCCTTCGGAAAAATTCGCCGATGGGGGTCTTTGTCACCATAGCAGAGGGTGCTGTTAAAGCTGGACGGCTGTTAACGCCATTTTGTCGCTTGGTGGCAGTGTTCCTGACCATTGTGGCATTTCTCGACGACACAAATTTGCGGACAAAAAACACAATAAATGGTGTGTCGCACCCCCTGTAGCAACGCTTATGGTTACATTGGCTATTTGGATGATAATAAGACACCTCGAATTTTTGAGATGTTAAATTATGATGAATATAAATCATGTGTGAATATAGATCACGTGCGTATATTTTATATTGGGAACCAGTGCTCAAGCATCATCACGAGTATTTTTATCTAACTGGTTTTCACTCCGGTTTTTTTTTTACATCTGCTCTGAGACACACTTGTTTCTTATGTGCTATTACAGATCTGTGTGTAGTATCCAACATGATGATTGACCACGGGTTGCAAGACGAGTGCAATGTAGAATACACCCCGTCCAGCGAGGATACATCAAACCACGGAGAAAGCTGGCAGAACAGGTCTTTACCCTGGTGGGTCTGTCCCAATACAATCCCAACATGTCCATGGAGGTTTACATGGCCTCCCAGTCCATCAACCAGTAAATATGTAGGCGTACATGGTACTGTATTTGGTGGCGGTGGATTTATAGCCGACCTTGGCACCACGCCCGGGCAGGCCTACCGAACACTCCGCTACCTTCAACATGCCAACTGGATCGACGTCCACACCCGCGCGATCTTCATCGAATTCACACTGTATAGCCCAGATGCAAACTATTTCTGCCTGGTCACTTATGTGGTGGAGTTTCCCTCGACAAACGCTGGCATCCCCTTCCCAAACGTTTATACTTTCCGCTTGTATGACTTTGCCGACACAACGCAAGTCTACTCCCTCGTAGTGACACTTCTACATCTTATCTTTCTCCTATGGCTGTTACACCTCGCCTTCATCGAGTTAGAGCACATCAAGAAGGCTAAAGCTAAATACTTCTTGTCTTTTAACAACTGCCTGGAGGCCATGGCCATTGTACTGAGTGTCTCGGCAGTCGTCATCTATGCAATTAGGCAGTACGCTATAGACGCATTTGGCGCTGAGATTGTCGCAAAGAAAGGTATACTGTGATTGAACACCGAATAACATTTAAACGCAACAACATAAAACAAGAGAGCAAGATTTTCCCTAATATTCCTCCAATGAGCTCCCTTAATTACAAAAAAAACCTCCTGAATTATTTTGGCTATGGTCAACAGTAACACATGCGAAGTGAATTAAATTATTCGTTAATCAAAAAAAGTTTGTTTGCCCTTCACCGACGTATAAACACTGTATACTCAGCCTGTTACCTCCCAAGTGAGAGTTGGTTCGAGGGTTCGAGTCCCATCCGAGTGATTTTTTTTTCCAACTTTCGCTCGGGAGAACACACTGAGTATACAGTGTTTATACGTCGGTGAAGGGCAAAAACCTTACCTCACATCACCCCGACGCAAAAATCCCATCTTATGAATAGTTAATGCGGTACCCGCTGTTTGTACATCAGATTCAAACTAGCCAACCGATCCCGTTAGCTCGGTGGTTGAGTGGTAAGAAATCTGCACTAGAAAGCAGGAGGTCGTGGGTTCGAGTCCCACCCGAGTGATTTTTTTCCAACTATCACTCGGGAGGTAACACACTGAGTATACAGTGTTTATACGTCGGTGAAGGGCAAAAACCTTATTTGATTCACATCATCCCGACGCAAAAATCCCATTTTACGAAAAAAATATTCCTTAGTACGTTCAAATATAACCTCATATCAGGTATTAGAGTAATGCGCATTATAAGATTTGCATTTCAGTAGATCAAACAGCGCTATGGCTAACAAACACCTCGATCCATGTTTCAAGCTGTTATCTTCAAGTTCCTCTCACACGATATTGAGCTCAGTGTGGTAACGTTCCGGGGTGATACTGCGGGCCAGGAAGGAGCGCTCGGGACTCCTCCCCGACAGTGGCATTTCCAGCTTTTGATGGCGGGCGGGGGGGGGGGGGGGGGGGGAGGCAACCGCACTCCCGCGCCGAAATGTAGACATATATTTTTTTCTCCGGACACTTATCCTCTGGAAAATCAAAAGGGGGGGGGGGGCATCTTCTAAAGCGGGGTGCTCTTCCGAACTGACCATTATTATGCATACTGGGGAATACACGCCGATTTTCATGGCGCATTGTAATGGTTTTGGAGTTTGGTTTCCTTTTTTTTTGGTTCATGTCAGGACTTATTGACTATTCAGTAACCATTGAATTACTGAAAACAATTCGTTCAAAAAAATTCTTGGGGCTGAAGGTCCCCCCCCCCCCTATGGATACGCCACTGCTCCCCGAGCCGCGTGCAGCCACCACTCTCCCGCCCGTTTTCCCAATCAGAATTAGTCAGCAGAGAAAAAAGAGTCTGGTAATATTAGAACCGTTAGAAGTTATTAAGAAATCGTGGCCATCAAGCGCCCCTTCAAATTGGACCTACGCAAGGGCGGATCCAGGGGGGGGGGGGCCAAAGGGGGCCATAGCCCCCCCCCAAAACGAAACCAATTTTTTTTTTTTTTTAATGTGACATCGCAATAAAGGCAGGCAATGAGTACACCACCATCTTTTCCTCAAAAAAAATTGGTTAAAGTGGTCAGAAATTGCCTCAGATCGCACCACAGAGCATCTAGAATCCAAAAAAATTTCGGGGCCCTCACGGGCCCCGAACCCCACGCCGTAATTTTTGAGACCCACTTTTTTTGGGGGGACCAAATTTTTTTTTGGCCCCCCCCAAAATTGTGTTCTGGATCCGCCCTTGGACCTACGTAGGCTCCAACACGACTCAACTTATCCTAATTCAACATTCACTTTTCTCCTTAGACCTTCATTACACCTGCCGGACTTTGGTCTTTGTGGATGAGCTCTACGCTCTTGCTTTGGGTATGATCGGCTTCTTCGTTACCGTCAAGCTGCAGTCACTGCTATGTCTTGACAGGCGGTTTACTGTCATGACACGCACCCTCTCGGACGCAAAGTTCAAGCTTCTTGGCTTTGCTATCATCTTCTTCATCGTATTCTACGGGTTTGTTTGGATAAACTACCTGATGATCGGATCTGAGCAGGAAGATTACAGGTAACTGCCGACAGCAAATCACATGAACCTACATTTATTCTCGCAACGCTTTAACAAACCAAAAAAACCATGAAAATCCAATTTTATACTAACGACTTCATTATGTGCTGCTAAAAAGTGGAGCTTGATAAAAAAAAAGGCCGTCTGATTTTAAAAACCACATCAACGTTACAGAAGTTGACAAATTGAAAAAGCATGTATCTATTTAAGCACCCCCATCCCTCGGCACAACTTTTCAGAATGACCACTACATCAGGGGACAAGGTCTTTTCTTTATAGCGTCATAAATTTAACTTCCCGGATTTAAATCAGTCTCATTTCATCTAGTTCGATTCGCCATTATCTTTCTAACATGCAGCACAATAGTATCTACGTCTGAAACCCTGCTGATCACCCTCCTTGGCAAATTTCGCTTCAGCCAATTCGACACCAACGCGTCCACAAAGACAATGGTCATCGTCATTTTCGTCTTGTTCTGCATTTTGCAGGTAACGACTAGAGAACCTGTCACATTTTAAGTCAATATAAAACCTAGAGATTCACGTTTGTTGAGTTAACAAAAGCAGGGTGATCGGGCAGATAACTATTTCATTGGACATTGCCCAGTTAACTCAGAACAGAACAAAGATTACGAGATTCAGCATCTAGGGTAGGTCCATTTGTTTGGGGTAATTTGGGGGAATGACAAATTTCAGTATACATTGCCTCTTTGATGACGTCATCAGTAAAACGTGCAACCAGAATGCTGATTTAGTTCAGAGAGGACACATGTTCACTGTGAAGTGAAAAGTATTTATGAAAATATGAAAATTTTAATAAATGTTTAGGTAAATGTATCAATAATACCTAACTTCCGGTTTGATGATGTCACAGTATTTGGAATCCTAAGGTCAACATTTTACTGAATATCATTATTTGTGCTAGGATCAAATGATGGATTTGAAAGAAGAAAAAAAAACCCAGGAAATCATCATTATTGATCATGATGATCAATTTCAAATTCTTCCTTCGATAACTTCCGGTCTGATGGCGTCATGATTCTGAAACCTTGTAATAGTCATTTGCGGTTTTTCAAAGAATAGCAAGGTTGCAATTAGGTAACATTTGGACGAATGGTTTTTGAATTTCAACCTTCTTTGAAGTTCCGCTAGAGGGAGCCCTTTCAAATGAAGATGTTGCCATGGAGTTGTTGGGGTTTTTTTTGGGGGGGGGGGGGGCATTCATCCCTTAGCCCCGTCCAGACGTTATTGTAGGTCAGCAGCCTCCGTGGCTACAAATAAGCATGACGACATTGACGGCCCTTTTCAAAGCTCGGCTTCGTTTCCGATATCGCTTGATCACTGAATATAGCTTTAAATCAGGGGTGTTAATCCCGCGATCCCGCGGGATGGAGGGTGTATCTTCCCCCCCCCCCCCTTTGACCATGAGGGATGGGCTATTGAATCATCCCCCCACACACACGTTTTCGTGATGAGAAAACAAATGCGGATTTCGAGGTATTTTTTGAGCATCCTAACAACAAAAATGTATTCCATACTACTGGGAAGTGGAGAAACAAAGTACGAAAGCTTTTAAAATGCGCCGTTTTGATAAAAGCGCGAGTATACACATTGCTATACAGCTATATCCTGAAGAGCGCCCCCTAATGAAATGTGGTGTCTCCCCTCTCCCTTTTTAGAATGTCCACGGCCGGGCAATTTTTGGATTTTGGTCATCCCTCATCCCCCCACTCGCCGGCACAGATTTACGCCACTGCTTCTAACGTTCCCATCAATTTTGTTTAATAAATCACTTGCTTTATATATCATACAGTTATGATATATAGTTTTATATTTCTGTAAGAAAACATTGACTAATGTTGACCTGGAATCTTCAAAGTTAGGCACCCAAATAGCACTGTTAGCAGGCGAAGCCGAATGTAGACCACGCCGAATGTTGGAAAATCCGGTATTTGGTCGTCAAATTCAAAATAGTACATGACGCAGCAAGATGTTCGCCCATCGTATACAATCCGAGTATACTTGATGCACAAAATCGTCGTGAAATTTCAAATTTTCTGAATGAAAGCAATGAATATTTATTGTCTACTCATTTTTAAAGTTTTAAAAAGCAATTGGAAGTTTAAAACCTATATTATACACGGAAATACTCGGGCGCTATCCGATTGTCAACTAAATGAATTCGGAAAACTTAGGACATTTTCGGAAAAAGGAGGAATTCCTCCCGCTTTAGTCACGTGATGTATGTCTGTAATACAATGTATTACTGACGGCTACCTGACCTAAGACTCATAAGGAAAAGTCGGAATTTTTTGGTATGGGAACCAGACTATCCATGGACACGCTATTTTTCCGAAGCGAAGCCGAGGGAAAAAAGAATGCTGGAGGGATCACCGAGGGAGGCTAGTTTTACTTCACCACGAGAAAAAAAAAACATTCAATTTTGTTTTATAACACTTCTGTTCACACACAGATACAGGTTTGTTATATATTATTTAAATCCGAACACAGTTCAAATTACCATCTATTTTAATTCAACATTGGTGGGAAATGTATTTCTCTCTTCCAAACCACCCCTTCACGAAATGTTTGAACCTATCTCGGTGGCGCGCTCTCTTGGGAACAATACGCGCTACGCTCAATGCGCACACCGGCATGCATTTGCAAACAAATACCGCGCCATGGATATAGACCATTATTATGCTGCAGCCATTTGATTGTTTTGCCATTCAAATCATAGCCTTGTACATGTACTTGTACATGTACATGTACATGTACTGTGTGTGCATATGGAACGCCAAAGAGGCATTTAATGTGATCATCGAATCGGTGATATGTGCATGGCTGTTGTACGAGTACGTGTGTGATGTACGTGCGTACGTACATGTATTGTACAAGCAGAGCTTTGCTGTATGGTACAAGTTACTTTCTCACTAGCAGCGTACGGGCATCGATATGTGCACGCAATTATGCCTTGCCAAGTTGATTAGGGATTTTGTTATCGGCGATTTTTTTTTATCGGCGAATCGATAAGCCCGCAACGCCTTGGTCAAGGCTATTCAAATCAATGTAACCAAAGCGAGGCTGGAAGGACAAATAGTGTGGTCCATTTTTGCACAAACAAATTATCAATCAGTACTGTTATTGGATACTGGAAACATGACTGAAATGGCGGCAGTATGATAAAGTCTGTAGTACTTTGGTTGCTAGTACTTTTGGCCGTGCACTGAAAGATAGCAAACTTTTTTTTTTTAAATGTGACTCGCTCTCGGCCAATCAAGACACAGAATCTGTGGGCGAGGTGTTAAAATAATAATTTTAGCATTTGCTTTCACCTGTTTAATGCATACATTATACTTTTTCTTTTATTTTCGACAGGGTTTTATTCTTTTAAACATGTTCATGTCAATCATCATCGATTCTTTCGCAATGGTACGGAAAGATGACGAAACATATGAGAATGCGGTCTATCTTGAAGACGTCATGTTCTTCGAGCTCTGCCGACACGTCAGAAAGATAATTCCTCAATCAGGTAAAGTGTCTCATAAGGAAGTTGGCGATAATATACTTGCATATAGGAGCATAGGAGAAGCGGTAGTTCTCACTCGTACCCAGCGGCGGCTGTTCACTCGTACCCAGCGGCGAATGGCGCCCTGGACTGCTATTCCCTTTCACAAAATTGTATGAAGGACACGTAATTGACGTAAACATCGTGGGGCATTGTGGGTATAGCTCACCGCCGTTATGTACGAAATTACAAGTGTCATGCGACATGCGCATGTTGATATTGTTAGGTCAACCAAATCGTCCAATGAGCACTCAAAGAAATAAAGGTCACCGGTGCCCTTTGAATTATAGGGCGGCTAGTACTAAAAACGAAACATTTTCACATTAGGCTACACACAAATCTGACTATAGTCAAAATCTAAAACCAGTACGCTGTCGTCAAACGTCAGATCAGAATAAATATAGGTTTTCCCGGCTATTTTTATGGATTTTTTATTCAAATTCACCAACTCTATATACGTGATGAAATCGAGCAAGTGAAATTCGAAATTCGATACAGTAAACAGTCCAAAAACACTAATTCTGGGAGTCAGGTTGGCATAGCAGTACTTTGCTCGCCTTCCCACCGCTGTGACGCGGGTTTTATTCCCGCCTGGGTCAATAAGTTGACGTAGTTCTTATTCCCTACTTGATTCGGTGAGTTTTTCTCGGAATATTCTTTTGGGGTTTTCCTCCCGCTTCTAAAACTGTAATTTCTTCACATTCTCTTCTCTTTATTGGGTCACATGAGAGCAGTGGCGTACGCAGGATTTTTTCAAGGGGGGTGTTTCAAAATTGGATGTCGTCATTTATGACGCTAGAAATGAAGATGGTAAATTGTGTTGGCGCCAGAAATAACAAATAGTATCAGTGGGCTAAACTTTACGCTTAAATAAAAGTCAGGAGTTTGTGTTGGCGCCAGAAATAAAAGAGGGTATATTTGGACGGGTTAAACTCGAAGGGCCGGGAACCCACGACCATCAGTTATCTTTTTGAGCTAAAGCATAGTAAATCGGGAAAAAAAAGTTCTGTGTCTTTAGAGTATGATGAACATATGAGTAAAGGGGTCAATGTGGGCAGTCCCCTCCCTCAACAGCATTTAAACCAAAAAAAGAAGAAATTCAAGAAAAAAAGTGACACGGGCTGCGGAAGTGCTAGGATCTGTTCTTGTTATTGTCTAAAATCACTCAGCTTCTTCCCCTGGATCTCATGATTCTCATCCGTTGGGAATCTTTGTGTAAACCGCCCCCACCCCTAAGGCCAAACTTCAGATACAGGATACATATGCGCTCTGGTCACAGGAGCGGATTCAGACTGCCATTTGCCGGGGGCCTAGAATTATTGTAATGAAGGGTCCAGGACCTGCGAAGCCCTTACGGCGTGGGGTCCGGGGCCCGCTTAAGGGCCCCGGGAAAAAATGGGATTTTAGATGCTCTGTGGTGCAATCTGAGGCGATTCCTGGCCACTTCCACCGTTTAGAAAACGTTTTAAACATCGAAAATTCCATTTAAATTTGTTATGTTTTTTTTGTTGTTTATAAAGTTTGTTACGTACTCAAAGTTGAGAACCATGTTCCATCTCCGTATTTTTTCACAATTTTCTATTTTGGAAAGGGATTTATGCCACTTAAGGTACAAAATGGTGGGGGCACCGCTAGGGTGAAATTATAGCATAGAGGGAATTTGAATCCCGGGACATACCGTTATTTCGTTTTACCGTTTTGGATTTCCTCAAAAACAAAAACAGTAAACGAATCATCGACCGTTTTGTCGTTTTATAGTGTTATAAGACGACAAGCGGTATTAAGATAAATACGGTTTCTCCGTTTTATAAGTTTAGTAAAATTCATTATAGCATAACGATCAATGATTTTTGTTTTACAGATTACACAAATACAGACTGTTTTTTTATTCCAGTGTCATGGTTAACAGTCCGTGGTGCATTTTGTGGCGGTGGGCAAGGGGGTGGAGGGGGACCATTACATGTTTTACACGAAGAAGTGTTACCTCAGCATAATTAATGCGTGATGTGATTCCTGGCGCGGACCCTGACCCCTTTCTCATGCGATTCAGTCAAGTTGGTGGGGCTTAAAGAGTTCCAAGCAATATGGCGCTAGAAAACTTCAAGGGAGGACATTACTTTTCACAATGGAAACAGGATGGTAATAAGACGTTTGATGAAGTTGCAGACATTTTGAAGGAAACTGGGGTTCAAGTCGACGCGGCTCTTCAATAGCCAATTCGCAAATTTTGTCGTGAGAACGAAATGTAAGGAGCGGGGCCCAGGCAATGAGTCGATCCCAAGGGCGCATTAATTAACATTCCGGTGCATTGCTTAATTGCCGAACCTAAAATCAAAAAATGGTCGGTAAGACTATTGACCGTTTTGTCATTGTCATGATTTTGTAAAACAACACTCTAAAAATAAAGCAACTAACCGTTTATCGCTTTCTACAATTAAAAACAACAACAAAAAGTATTTTGTGTGTGTGTGACTTAATACCGTTTGACCGTTTTACAAAACTGTAAAACGAGAAAACGGTCAATGGTTCGTTTACTGTTTTTGTTTTTGAGGAAATCTAAAACAGTAAAACGAAATAACGGTATGTCCCGTGATTAATTTGGCCGGAGGACCAATGCGAGCGCGGAGCGCGAAGCACTTACGGCGTGGGGTCCGGGGCCCGCTTAAGGGCCCCGGGAAATTTTGGATCGTAGATGATCTGTGGTGCAATCTGAGGCGTTTCCTGGCCACTTTCCCCTGTTTTTTTTAGCAGAAGTTTTTTAAATTATAAGGGGATATTTTGTTTCATTTGTTTCAAATACATATTGGCCTATATACTCTTGCTCTTAAGTGTCTTCTGTATTCAAAGCTTAAAGTTGAGAACATGCACATAATTTGTAATTGTTCCGCGCTCGGTCACATAACTCTCTTTTCCCCTCATATTTTTACATGGCAAAGGGGGGTGTTTAACAGCCAAAACACCCCCCCTGCGTACGCGCCTGCATGAGAGACCAGTGCATTTCGCTGGATTGGTTACCCAGTTAAAAAAAATAAACGAAAATGAAAATAAAAGAATACTGGGAATCTGCACATCTTAGGTTTTACCCTTCCGACTCTGCAGGTACTGTGCTAATACGTTTTTAAAATCCCATTTTATAAAACTGGTCAAACAGTGGTCATAGGATTTGAATGTCGATAATCCATATTCCCCCTTATTCTTTGCGACCAATACACGTGTTCCTTTTATCCTATCCATTTTATCATCCCAAAGGAACTTCCAAATAATATTACTCATTTCCTTCGCACACTGGTCAGGACAAGCGATAACAATGGCAAGATCGTTAATTCCTGACCCGACTATTTGTTAACAATTACTGCTTTACCTTGATAAGTTTGGTTTTGTTTCGACCATTTCAAAAGAGTGCGGTGAATATTCTTAATTCTGGGTCTCCAATTATCTTCCGGTGTGACGGCATTACCATTACCACTTCACCAAACCTTTCATCTTACTGCAACATGTGAAATTGCACGGTTTGTTTACTCTTTCGCGCCATTTGCCTATAACCACTTCTGACCATTGAGTTTCAAGCCACTACCTTTGCAAAAATTGTTGAGGAGATCTTGAATGACATCAAATTCTCTGCATGCTAGATAAGGCGCATGCCAATATCTCTGCTGAGAATAGTGATTCCGCTTAAACTACAGTTATTCTAATTAAGTGAGCTAAGCCTTCGGCGCAGATAAAGTATACAGCAATGGAGATAATGGGCAACCTTGTCTCATTCCACGTTGAACTTGAATCGGGGCACCAATGAAATTATTCATAATAATACTGCAGTTGGGGTTACTATAGAGAGGTTTGATCCACTTATGTGGATCGCATTAGCATGTAGTCCTAATTAATACGGCCAAAAGCCTTCTCTTGATCCAAACTAACAATGGCAGCTTCAAGGTTATCCCAATTAATGTAATCAACTACGTTCCTTAGAAGCATGAAATTGTCTTGGATTTTCCTAGACATTACACCACAGGTTTGCTCTTTACCAATCAACAACGGCATAAGTAATTTTAACCTACTAGTGATCACCTTCGAGATACTTTTATAATCCACATTCAGTAAAGTGATAGGTCGCTAGTTTTTCAATTCTTGTCTACTACCTGAGTGTTTATAGATGAGTCTTATAAAGACTGAATTCATCGAATTACATAAATGCCCACACTTAAAGCAGTCATTGTAAACATCCAAAGTATCACGTACAATAATGTCCCACACTGATCTATAGAATTCAACAGTCAGATCATCAAGGCCAGGAGATTATACTTCTTCATTTAAAAAAGGGCGGTTTTGACTTCTTCATAAGAAATCTTAGTTTCAATATCATGAAGGATATTATCGGGAATTTGCTGGCGTTTGATTTTGGATGCGATATAATTTATCACAAAATTGGAAATGTTCCCACATTTATACGGGTCACCATAAAAATAAGCAAGATTCAAAATATTACACACAGAGAAAAGATTACACATGATGTGTAAAATTTGACATGTTTGCAATGTGCCATACGAACCTGCTAATATTTAGGTAAAATTTAAAGCGACAAGACTGGTGTTGGATAAGGTTTATCAAAAATGTTTGGTAACATTTTACTTTCAAAATATGCAAATTACTTTACGTAATACCGTGGTAAATATAGTGTGGTACAATTTTACTTTGGAAATCTGTAAATTAGGTTACATAATATCTTGACAAAAATACTTTCGTAAAATTTTACTGAATCCTTGGTAATATTACTTCATTTTGACGCACAAAGACTAAAATGTACCATTCTATACGGTAAAGTTTTGATAAATTTGTAAGTAAATTTTTTTATTGTCCTTTATTCTTGTAACCGAACTGTCTTTAGTTGACTTTACTGTGATAGAACATTAAGGGCCGTCTGTTTCAAACATCTCCTCTCAGTAGTACAAAACTACAGCAGCCGGCCGTTAGGGCCGGCCAGGTACCTCTTTTTCTTTCGCGTGGGTGCGTTTTCTCTTCCAAGGTAGCTAGTCTCTCTTTCAAAACGTGTGTCGCTCTCATTCTAGGAAGCAAGTCCACTTTTCACAGGGGTGTATACATTTCTCTCTAAGTGTGATTAACTCGCGGCCGCGACTTTATATTTATCTCGCGGCCGCGGGTTGATAAGTCACGGCCGCGAGTTATTCACACTTATTAGAGAGAAATACATCCCTGTGAAAAAATGGACTTGCCCCCCAGAAAGAGAGCGACACACGTACTGAACGAGTTGCTAGCTACCATGGAAGAGAAACGCACCGGCTGTGAAAGAGAGAGAGGTACCAGGCCCTAACGGGCTTCCGTACAAAACGGCCGTCATCGAGTCTCTCCGTTGAATTACTGTTGGTTCAATCTTACACTGTAGAAAATAATGGGTAAAACCCACTGTTGGGCAATATAATTTTACCCAACATTGGTTTGAAATTACCCAATTTGGGTAAAAATGTACCAACAATTGGGAGATGTACACTGATGTGTTTACAGTGTACATCTCATGAGAAAACAAAAAAGAAAAATACTCCACTTACTCCGAATTCAACGATATGTTACAACAAACAAAAAGTTGGACTTTCCGGATTCTTGGAAAAGTACTCAGAAAACACGACAATAGCTAAATACGATGCAATGCCCACGTACACTGCATCATTACGGTCGAATAGCCAATATGATCGTCACTCGTCACTGACGATTTGAATATTCATCTTCGGTTCACAATTTGTAAAATAACGTCGCCTTGCATTCCTACTTCAATTTTTCTTCCTCATTATCAAACACTAACTAAAATAGTTCGCACTGGAAATATCAACTGGGTTAATGGTTTTACTGTCCGGGGTTATTAAATCCGACTGTCGTGATCTCCTGACTAGGGGTACGATGTTTCTGCCCCATCGACAACAAGAACCCGGGGCATTGACGAGGA